CTATGGCATCTACTACAGTTGAGATAGTCTGGTTACGATGGCTCCTTGTTGATCTTGGCATTTCGGTATCATCTCCGACTCTTATGTTCTATGACAACACTAGTGCTATTCAGATTGCTCATAACTCGGTCTTCCATGAACGCACAAAACACATTGAGATTGATTGCCACTTTGTGCGTCATCATCTGCAGCAGGGCACCATCACTCTCCCCTTTCTTCTTTCCACAATGCAGATAACGGATTTTTTTACGAAGTCTCATACCATAGCACGTTTTAGATTTCTTCTTGGCAAACTCTTGATGTTTTCTACCACATCATGAGTTTGAGATGGGGTGTTAGAATATTTATAATAAGGGTAGTTTAGGAATTTTCTTTATATTGTGTTACCCTACTATATAAGGATTACTTTGTGTATTTCTAGGTTAAGCTGTGTATTACAGACTTGCTTGATGAATAATATATTTTCTCTTTCTCTTGTCTATTCTCTATTCTCATTGATCAATTCTATCAGAGAGAAGTACCATTAATGAATATCAACTACAGCAATCACAGTACGAACAGTGGTCATCTTAGCAACAAGGACAAATGTTTCATCATAGTCTAACTCATATTCCTAAGCAAATCTCTTGACTACTTATTGAGCCTTATATCTTTCCACAGTACCATCTGATTTGGTTTTGATATTATAAACCCACTTATATCCAATGGTGTGTTTGCCAGGAGGTAAAGAAACTAATTCCCAAATTCGAGTCTTATGTAAGGCAAATAACTCTTCATCCATAGCTCGTTATCAGAAGGGATCAAGAAAGAGGAGGTGGGCTCAAAAAAAGAGTGAATTGAGATGAGAAAGGCACAAAAATCAGAAGAATAACAAGAGTTGGAGAAACCAAACCTATCTGGACATTTTTGAGAGCGCTGAAGATAACGAGAAGCATGATCCACAATGTCAGAACCTGATTGAGTGACAGAAGTAGACGAGGGAGGAATGCAGAAGAGACAACAGGAGTCCTACGAATATAAGTATGCACAATAAAGGGACGAGTAACAGAAAAATCAAAAGAAAAAGATGGCAAATCCGACATAGTTATATCACTAACATATGAATCCTTGAAAACATAAATAAGGAAAAGATCAATGTAAATGAGATCAGATTTATGCACAAATGAAGAACAAGAGGGAATCGAAAAGAAAGGAATATGTTCCATAAAGACAACATGGTAAAAGACATAAAGTTTGTGTGTAATAGGATCATAGCAACGATACCCTTTTTGACCCTCATCATCACTAAGAAAACACATAAAGGTGAATGAGCAAAAAGTTTAGTGCGAACAACACTAGGAAGTAAGATAAAACAAGTGTATCCAAACACACGTAAGGAGAAATAATTAAGTGGTTTACCACATAACTTTTCAAAATGAGAGATTTCAGCAGTGATGATAGTGGTAATGTAATTAATCAAATGAACAGCAATAAGAACTACTTCCCCTCAAAAGAACTTGGGACATTTGCAGACATCAAGATAGAGTGTACTATCTCTATAATATGTCAATGTTTGCGCTCTGTTACACCATTTTGTTTAGGTGTGTCAGTACAAAAAGATTGACAAACAATGTCATTAAATTTTAATAGATCACGAAAAAAATTGAAAGGATATTCTTCTCCTTGGTCACATCGAAAATATTTAATAATAGAGGTATATTGAGTATGTATCATAGTACGAAATGCAGTGAATACAAAAAAAAATTCAGAATGTTGTTTCATTAAATAGACTCAACAATATCTGGTATAGTCATCAATGAAAGAAACAATATCTAGACCCTCCTTTAGTTGGAATAGGAGCAAGTCTTATACCTCTGAATGACCCAGATCAAATGATGCAAGAAATCTAGTAGAACTTTTAATAAAGGGTAATGTAATAAATTTAGCTAAATTGAATCCATAACAATTGAAAATGTTATGACACTCTAAGTTACCCAAACTACCAATAAAAGTTAAAAATTTCAACTGAGAATAAAAAACATGAATCGAGACCAAGACGAGAATGCTACAAATAAAAATTAGAAGACTGTGGACTCATGTGAAAATAAGACAAATCAACAAGAGAGGCAGCAATATTTGGAATATTCAACTCGTTTAACACATACAACCCTCCCAGTCTGCTTCCAATTCCAATCAACTTCTTGGAACGTGGATCCTGTACAATTCAACTAGAATAAGAAAAATGAACTAAAAATCCCAAGTCAAATAGTTGACTAACTGAAATCAAATTCAAGGTAAGCTGTGGAATGTAATAAACATCAGGAAGTATTAGTTAAAAAGAAATAATAGACCCAACACCGGCCAAGGTCATTTGATTACCATTGATTGCAAGTACAGATACAGATAGAGGAGAGAAGTAGATGCAAATAAATAAGAATCACTTGTCTTGTGATGTGTAGAACCTGAGTCAAAGACTCAAGTGGTTCATGATATACCTGAAAGACTCAAACTGAACGAACCTATGGAATGAAAGATTGAGAGAGTACTAGCCAAAAAGCTTCTGCAACTGATCAACAATCATAGTCTAAAGAAAGTCAGTGTTTTCACTTACCATAATTGCAATTAACCCAAATCTAGAGCCCAAACTCTAAAGCCCAATTTAAGAACCAATAAAATTCAAAGAGACCAAAGTCCACAAAGAAAAACAAGCAACACAGTGGACACTAAGGTAAACCAGCAAACTATCAAGCGCAAAGCAAGACAGCCCAATTGTTAACAGTAAGAAAACAGTCCAAAGGGCAGCCCAATGCAAAGTCCACAAATTGCCTTCAAGCAATAGAACAAAAACCAGCCCAATACTCCTGCCAAAAGAAAAAGCCCACTGCAAAGCAAAACGAAGAAAAGGCCTACAACTAAAAAGAACCAGCAAGCAATAAAGCTTCCAAAAAAATAGCAAACAACTTAACAACGGTAGAGCAGCAAATCCAACCAATAACAATCAACAAACCAGCAACCCAAAAACCCAACAAGAGCCCGGCCAAAACAGAACAAGGCCCACAAAACCAAAAGAAAGTCCACAAAATAATCGAAACTCAAAAAGAACAAGGCCCAGCAATTATTTCTGTGGAGAAAAGGCAGATTACCACTGCCGATGTCACCAACGTGAAGGATAAAATGATCAAGAGAAGATCACCAAGCCAGATCACCAAGAAAAGCCATAATACCAGCAACCCAGCCAACAGAAGAAATCTACTGCCCAGAAGATACCAGTGGAGGTCGGTCATTGGTGCACAAGCATAGCCAACAGAGGAAAAATCTGAATTTTTTTGTTTTCACCACAAAACTCTTCAATCTGCTACAAGGCTGTTAATCGAACATCAATAGGGTGAAATCGCACAGTATGGAATGGAGTGGAGGCAAGAAACTCGATCAAATCTTGCAAAGATCACAGATCTGCAACTTTTAGCCCTAATTTCTGAAAATTATTCAAAATCTTGAAAACCATACTAGATGACCACAAAATCAAAAAACGAATCACACCACGTTGTAGCCCATGAAAAACTGACTAGAGTAATAGTGTTCAACTGTCTCAGATGATGATGTCATGATGACATGATCATGTATGCAGATGGCGTCAATCCTTTTTTTGCCGAAAAATTTTCTCTTCCTTCTAAAACTTGTTAATTGTATTTAAGGATCGAAATCCGCTCTAATACCATGTTAATCATAGATCAAAGAAATATATGGAGAACAAAAAAGAAAATCTTAATTCTTTTGTGCAACAACTTAACCCAAAATATACAATGTAGGCCCTAAGGCAACACAAAAGAAAGTAAATGTCTAAACTATCCCTAATACTAAAGAGTAATGCTATTGGGACTTAAAAATCTGACATAATTTACTGATATAATGATGTAGCTTCATTGGAACCATTGGATTAATACCAAGTTCTAATGTTTGATGGAACCCGCAGTCAATCCAAAAGTCATAGTGAAGCCACATCATTATATTAGCAAATTATGTCAGATTTTTATGTCTCAATAGCAATACTCTAATACTAAAACTCTAACAATTGTGACTAGCTTCGATCGGGTTTTCCCACTGATTCTCCCCCTTTCTCTCCGTTCTTGAGTTGATTAAGTATTACTGTATTCCCTCTGTGTGAAACGAGCTTTTTTTTTTAGGTCTGGAGTTAAGAGGAGTTTCCATCTTATTCCTTATTTTATTCAATTAAATGTCATAACTGTATATTGTAAATTATGTTTCATATTTTTTGGGGGGTATTGACCACTTTAACGTTACTATATTTGTTCATTAATTAGCCCTTTAATTGGTTTATTGCATTAATCGATTATGTTTTACTAATTAATAAGTAACTTTGGAATTTAATTTAAGGACCTAATCTATTATTTTCATTGGATTGCATAGGATCCCATAGAAATTAGAACCCAAGTTTAATTCTACAATAACTTAATAGATCCCCAAATTAGGTCGAACTAGCATTATTCTTTATTAATATATATCTGGCGATGTCCATACTTCCCATTTTCACTATGTCAATGTTAGATGATGTATTTTGGACAAATAATGCATGAATTTTGATGATTACATTATTTAGAATTGTTTATAATTTTTTTTTAAAAAAATTGGGCCTTTTAATTAGCATTTTATGTGCATCAGCTGATACAATATCACGACTAATGTGCCCTAGTGCCTTCTGAGGCAATAACTGATACCATAATCTCAAACCATGTATATAAACCTCAACCTTGTGTGGGCCTTTCCACTCATTGTAAATTGGTATTGAGTTGAATATTTCAACTAACAATACCTACAAGTATACAGAGAGGAAAGACTAATCCCATGCAATTTAGGAAACGAGAGAGGTCAAGATCCAAATATCCAATATCATATTAAAATCTGATAGTTGTTGATGCAATCAGACACAATGCATGTAAAACTATTGTAATAAGAAAGATGCACGAACTAACCACCAAAACTACAACATAAATTTCATATGCTTACATAGGTTGGACGTTCATTGACTTCATATACTCCACAGCCATGCATTCTGCCATGCTTCCATTGACCAGCATAGCGGTACCGACCTTTCTCCCTGGCATCAAAACACCATCAGCACTGGTCATAAGAACAATAGTAATTACTTCCAAAAGTTTAATATTTACTAAAAAAATTTGTTACCAACACATGCAAGTAGCACACAGTAAAGGAAAGAACATAGAAATTCTAAAGTAAGAAATGAACGCAAAAAATCAACTCAGATTACAATTATAGAATCAATAGAAAATTCAACTCAAAACCTATAAGCATCAATTATTTCCAAAAGATAAAAATGTGATCAGCAGATCAATTACAAGCGTCACAAAACGCGAGAGGGAGCTCTTGCACTCTTCAAGGACTTGGTACGAACATTTTGTCTTCATCTCATTTAGCTAGCTTGTTTTAACAAATGTGAACTTGCAAATACTGTTCAAAAAAAAAACTTACAACTAAACTTAAGTTTGTAATGAAACAAAGATAAGTCTACGCATCATATGACTATAATGTCAACCTGATAACCTATACCACTGTTTAATAAAAAATGTACTTGGTGTGCTCAAAACGTAATGGAGGTGGGCCACCTAACATGAAATCGGTGGCAAATCAAATAACCTCAAAAAAAAGCCCTGTGCGCCTAGCCACTAACTGAGAAGACCTAGTTAAGGATGCTGATCGCTGTTCTACACAAACCATGCATCAATATCTAAAAGGATGATGATGATAATTTTTAATGGATTATTAGGATGATTAAATTATTTTCTATTCATGACGAATTACACACTAACATGATAAAATGGAATGGAGGTTATCTCCACGATAATATGGACAGAATATGTGATGCTAATATCACTGAATACGATGAATTTGACGGTAGCACAAATTAGTTATGGAAGGAATCACTACTCAGAAATAAAACTTACGGTTTACTTCCAAATTGCCTGATCCATTCATCATTCTCATAGAAAGGGATTTCACGATTTCCCCCAGCTAACCGAATAGTATCTTCAATATCCATCTCCAACCATTCTCTGTCTTCTGGGGACATAAAATCTCGTTTTATTATTTTCCCTTCAGCACGCATTTTTGCTTCAAGCCTGGAAAAAGATTAGGACAAGTCAAAGAAATGTTTTGTGGGAAAGTGACTGCTTGAATATTGAAAAATAATACCTGAATTATATTATTACAACATTAGTTCATAGAGGGGAGTCATAAACATACGTGGACCCTGGCACAGGCTCTATATCAGGTATGTCAACTTCAACAACCCCATGTCCCTCCATGTTATTTTGAAGCCATTCACCTTCATATCTGTGACCAGAAGGTGTACTGTAAGAAATTTATACAAGGTATACAAAGCCCCTGGACTTAAAAGGTAAGAAAGATCTTTATAAGGCAAACAAAAGAACTCGAGGAGTTAATGTGCTCTTCCCAGGTACCCAAAACAGTGCCATGACTGCTGAAGTTAAGAATATACTAACCTGACCAACCCTTGCTCAGCCACATATACACCTTTTCCATGTGCCAAATCATCCCAGACAGTGCCTTCATACCTAGGAGAAATACAAAGGTCACTAGTTATGCATATTCATGGGGTAAAGTGAGACGCGTGTATGTATCAAACAATAAACAAGATTAACAGTAACACCGTTAACAATCTAGTATTCCATCCCCAGTAATTCAAGCAGGAATAATGGGCTGAGTTCTATTCTTATGAAGCAGGACACTGAAACAACAGATTTAATATACCTTGTAAGGTTATCACAGATACTTGTACCCAGTAGGTCACATCAATCAATCAAAGCAACCATGCTGTAGGAAGAATGAAACAACAAATTCAAGCTGAACCAATCAGTTTGGTATGTACCCACCCGTATGCAAGGAAGAATGCACTTCCCAGTATAGTTGGTGGGCTAGAGACTGTTGAATTGTTGCGATAAGATGTATACAGCAAGCTCATTAAGTAAGGTAATAGAGGAAATGAATAAAAGGAGAGAGAAAGAAAATAAAAATTAGCAAAAGGCATCCCAAATGGTAAACAGCATACATAAAAGGGACAATCAACTCAATTTGTATCTATCCAACCATACTCTTCATTCTTCATTCATGTCTTGTACATAAACCTTGGAAAAAATATGACCACTCCTCCCAGTAAAAAAAATGAACATATAAATCGAAAGTCTTTTATATTCAACAAAACCTCAAGGCTACAAGATTGTTTGCAAAGAAAAATTGAGCAAATTAAATACATCAAGCTAACAATATCATATATATTATATAATCATAGAAACAACAATATAGAAAGGTCTTGGGTGTTTAACATATTGTAACTATTATCCAGTATTGCCAACAAATACTTCAATACATAAATAAATACATACATGTACAGCTACATTTCTATATCTCTTCATTTTATGAGCGGCAATCATTTTGTGTGTTTTCTTACTCTATAGACTCTAATTAATGAAGTCTTTCAATTCCTTATGTGGTAGTCATTGTTTGGTTAGAGAAGGCATACCATCTTTGGAAACAAACTCTGGCTTTAGGCATCAAGCCAATGAATAACTAAATTTGGTCTCGTGTCTAAATAGTTTCAGATTCTTCTGTTTGTTTAATCTGGTGTTAGATTGATTGGAAGTCCATATGTCCTTAGTTCTACAACTACAAGTAGGGTTGACAACTTTCAACGAGACATGTTAATATGACATGAATCCGGAAACGACGTGATCAAGTAATGTAAATAATAAACGAATCAAGTTAGTGTTAAACATAGACAACTCGTTTTCAACATAATAAACCCATTTAATTGTTATTATAACAAGCAAAAATTTGATTTTTTCTATAACTTGTTTTCATTTCTTGAATTAATATTATATGAATTATTGTAGAATAAATGATTTTTCATTTGATTTTACTATGATGTGGGGTAAGTAGATTTTTTATAGGACCTATATATGTGGGATTTAGTTAATAGAAAAGGGGGTACTAGTCTTTTGTTTCTGGCTCAGTGGTTACACAAAAGTGACACACACATGGCATGAAGATGGCTCTAACCCAAAATGTTATGAATCAACATGATACGACCCACATTTCTTACGACTAACTACAACCAAATTATTCAGATTCAGGCCATTCAACTATGGCAGCATAGCCTGTCAATTAAAGAGTATACTTGCAGGCTCTATTACTTGGCAACTCATGTAAGCTCGGATTGCCATGTATAAGAATGTACTGAGACCATATAATGCTTGCTGGACTTGCTCCAACTATGTTACATGCTATGGAAGAAGTTATTCAAGCAGTTTTCAACTGATGGAGGATTTCTCCACAAAGTACTACCAATGAAGGTAGCTGCCACGAACTGGAGTTAGTTGATTTACGAATATCAGAAAGCAACTTGCACCTTCTCCGACAACAAGTAAACTCATTCTTTCACATTGGCAGGAGCATAGAGCACAAGAGCGCTCACTCAAAAACTAAAACTGAGAATGGCTATCCAGAAGTGAAGTTGGCCGTTGTATCTAGTTAGGAAGGCATATGGTGAATTACCTTCCAACCAATGAATTTTTTCTCTCACATTTACAGGAGCAAAAGGCATGATGTGCTCCAAATCAGAAACTGAATCTAAAATACAGCTCTCCAGAACTATCAGAACTAAACAGAAAAACTTGTTTCTTCTCTTAGTGCTACTTACATGCTCTTCATTTAACGGCAAACAATCAAATTCGTAGATCCTAATCTGCTGCCCATAACCCATTACTACCTTTTGTCAAGAAATCCCTACCAATTCCTATGCAATCCTACTTCTTTATAAGAGAGCAAGAAATTAGACAGGTTGGAACTAATATTGTCACTACAGTCATCACAAACTAAACAACACAAATGCACCAAAATTCTAACAGACCAACCAACCTCATTGAAAACAAACTCATCAAACCAACTAGTCATTCAAACAGAATTACTACCAAGACACGGTGAGAGCACTTCAACAAATCCGCTATAAAAACGGCACAAACATCAAGTTCACACTTTCAAGTTCCCATCAGTAACAAATGCAAGCAAGCGAAATCAAAAACTTCCAACCCTATCAATGCCACAATCACCAATTCATACTCTAGAATGCCAACAAGCATACCCATCATACTTAAACAATGAAATTCCACAAACAAACTATAGAACTTAAATTAAACCTTTATATAACAAAATAGGCGATAACAGGCACTTACGAGCTCCCATCAGGGAAAATGAAGCTGACCCACTTCAAGAACTCCTCAATCCTATCAAGCTCCTCAATAACAGCCTTTGGGTTCGAAATATCATAATGATTATCCGGTATCACAGGATAACATTTCCGGTAGGGCACGTAAAATGGGGCTATCGGCGGGTCTCTACCGGCCTTAATCTCGTCTCTCACCACATCCGCTTCCTCCTCGTCCACCCAGTTCGGGTCCCACCCGGGTTTCGTCATCTCAATGGGAGCATCAGCCCATAGCTCCTTCAAATCCTCCTCTCTCCAGTTCTCTGGGTCGCTCGGAAAGTCAAACAAATCTTCATGATAAGTATAATCATTCTCTTCTTCTTCTTCCTCCCTTCTGAAAGTCTTCGACTTCAGAATCCTCATGAAGCGCCTGATGTTGGTTTCCGCGGAGTTGTCTTCTTCGTCGTCGTCGTCGGGGTCGGGTTCTCCGCGCCTGGTGTAGGACTCGGCGCCCGTCTGCGACGAGTCGTCTGATTCATACTCCGAGTCTGAGTCGTCTGAAGACGAGGAAGATAGTGTTTTCTCCACAAATTCCCCTTCGGGAATTGGCTCATTTTGGGTCTGGGTCTCTTCTCCTGGGTCTGCCATTGTTGGCCTCCCTCTGTGTGCGTGTGTGTGTGTGAGTGAGAGAGTGGAGGAAGAAGTAGCAGATGAGAGAGTGGAGGAAGAAGTAGAAGATAAGATGCGGAAGCGGAAACCGCAGAGGTACTACTATAGTCTGTATGTGATTAGTAGAATCGATATTTACAATGCATTAGGTACTTGTACCAAGGTTTTGTTATTTTTCACAACATAATTATGTTTTATCACCTCATTAAACCTTTAATTATAAAACCATTAAATCCACCCCATTAATAATTAAGGTAGTATTTAGTAACATGGCGTTTATATTTTTTTTTGTTTTTCTTTACATTTCTTGCTAAAAAAAAAAAAGTAATAACATATTTGGAATGTGTTTCCATTTTTTTTTTACTATCTCGTTTTGAAAATAAGGATAAAATATGAAAACATAAAATTAAAAAAAAAACGCGCCTCAGCTCCACCTTTTAATGAGATCTCACTTTCAAATCTTGTTAACACCAAAATTTAGAACTTTTGGTTGGATGTATAAAAGTCATTTTTCTTTCTTTTCTTCTCTTTCTCTCATCTGTCTCTCTGTCTCCGGCCGATTTCCCTTTTTTGAAACCGCAGCCAAAGACGAAGAATTCGTTCCTTTCTTTTGCTGATTTCTCTCTTCTGAAACCGATGCCATATATGATGAAATCGAAGACGAAAACGAAACTCACTTCGTCTCTCTTGCTCGTTTCCCTCTATTTCCTTAATTTTATACCATATATACATAGATCTATGTATTTATATATATATATATATATATATATATATATATATATAGACATAGACATAGATTGGATTATGGGTTTCGACGATGGTAGTTAGATTGGGGGTGAGTTTCAGTAGTTGGATTATGGTTGGATTTCAGTGATTGTGATGGTGGATTTTAACGGTGGGGTTTCGATATGGTGGGGGTGGGTTTTGGTAGTGGGGTTGGGTGATCAGTGAGGTTGGGTGGTGGTTTTGAGTAATCAGTGGGGTTGGGTAGTGAATTTTTTGTATAGAGTAATGCTACATAAACTTAAAAAATAGACTTGATAATCTCAACCATTGATTTCATCGTGAGTCTCAGTATTTATTGGAACCTACTACCTATTCAATGGTTGAGATTATCAAATTTAATTTTTAAGTCTAGTTTTTAAGTTTATCTAACATTACTCTTTTGTATAATAACAAACTTGTTTTTTATTTTTGTTTTCATATTTTTTTAAATATAAATGACTACCAAAAATGTTTTATATTTTTAATTTTTATCAAAAAAAAACAAAACAAAACAAAACTTAGTTCTATTTTTTTTATTAAAAAAAAAACATAAAAACGAAAACGTTACCAAACGCACCCAAGTTATTCATTTTATTCTATACACAACTCATTAATAATTAAATTCATATTATGTAATGTTCAACTAAAATATAAAAATTGTAATAGAGTTTTTCTTAACTACGTTTTGATGAGTTAGAATACCAACAATTATGTTCTAAATAAAATATACAAAAAATCTTATTTGAATGTCAACAAAAAAACAAATCTATAAGCTTTCACTCAAATAATTTTTAAATTCTAATCTTTTCATGTGAATTTCTTTTTTGAAAAATAGTAAGTTAACTTTGTATATATATATTTATATAATAAAGTATAACGAAAAGATAAAGAGATGTCCAAATCGTTTTGAGATAAAACATAAACACATCCAACGGACAACGTAATGCCAACATAAAAGACGGTTCAGATCATCTCAAAAAATTTGATCTAACAGTCTACAGTTAGTCCTGAATTTCTTTTTCCGCTCATGAAGAAGCCTCTTATTGTAAGACTCTATACTCCTATCTTTCATAAGTCTCTATCTTAAATTTGAAAAAATACAATAACAATTCAGATTAAATTCATTTTAAATTAAATCATTTAAATTTCATTTGAAATTATTTTTTTTTATCAATATTACTAATGACTTAATTCAATATAACGGTTATTTTAATTGTAAATTTTAATGTTAAATGAAGTCTACTTTCAATCAAAGGGGTGCATTGAATTATGTCATCAAATTAGATCTAAATAGCATTTTTTTTTTTTTTCAATTGACCATAGAAGTTCATAAATTCATATTTACTATAATTATGCGTAAAAATTCATATAAATATAAAACGTTAAAAAACGATTTATATAGAATGAACAAACAAAAAATAAAAGTAAATTAATTAAAACTTCGTATGAGATTAATTATTATTATTTTACAATTAAATCTGATTATTGTTAATCATTTAAAAGAATTACAAATCAATGATATCAATAAATACTTTTTTTCTATATACAAAATGGTAATAACAGTTTTTCATTTATTACCTTCTAATTTATTACATTATGATACTCATTTCTATACAATAATAAAATAATTCTATAATTTAGAAAATGAACGCGACATGTCTAAAAATTTAAGAATAATAGTAATTGCATATAATTTGAAATTTAATTTTATATCTTGACAAAAAAAAAATTCAAAATTTAATTGGTAGGAACTCAATAGTTTGTGACCATTGGATAGATAGTAGACGTTATTAAATGTAGGGACTCATTATTAGATTTAATATCATAATGTATTAGTTCCAATAACATTATTTAAAAATTAATTATTATTTAAGTAATCATATATCTTGATTGATATCACAATAATCTATTTAATAAAGTAAAACGAAGTTTGAATTCAAGAGATAAAGAGTGGGTCCAGATCGTTTTGAGATAAAACATAAATACATCTAACGAACAATGTAATCTTAATATAAAAAATGGTTTAGATAATCTCAAAAATTTTGATCTAACGGTTTACAGTTAATTCCAAACTTTGTTTTCCCGCCAACAATATTTTTTGACTTACGTCTCTCTTCCAATCTCTCACGTCTCTCTCTCCCAATTTCTAACGCCTCTATCCCTACTTTCAAACTCATCCCAAAATCTCTCTCATGAATCCATCTCAATCTCATTTATGCCTCTCTCAAATCTTCTGCTAATCTCAATTCCAAATTTCCCCAGTCAAATATCTATCTCACACCCAACTTTCTCTCACGCCTCTCTATCACTGCCTTCTTCTACAAAGCAATGCCACTGCTCTCTCCGTCGTCTCCCTTTTTTACGTTGCCCTCTTTATCGTCTTCCTCTCTTCTCCGCTCTCACCCAAGCAAGTCATTGTCAAATCATTCAGTTGCTACAGAAGCAGCAAGACATCCAGGTACTCCATTTCTCTTCTATCCTTCTCTCTAACGAGATTATTAATTTTGAGGTGGGTGATTTTTAATTAATTGTTTGATTTCATAAGTTATGTACACAGTTTGATATTGCTCAAATGTCATATTTTTGAAGGAAATTTTTTCAAAATTAAATTGTTGGCTTATATTCGTTAGTGGAGTTTTGTGTTACATAGTGCCTTTAGGCACAAGTAATTACTAGTACAATAATAAGGTGGACACAATTAAATATATCTAAATTTTATTTTAAAAATGTATATATTTATTGTAAAAAAAATTGAGGGTGGGCACAATTAAATATGTCTGAATTTTATTTTAAAAAATATATATCCAATGTAAAAAAAAAAATAAAAATTGAGAAGGGCATGTGCCCACCCTGGTCCAAGGATGACTCCGCCCTTGAATCCCACCCAATTTAACTACACCTACATGCTACCCATTTTGTCTAACACACAGTCCAAACTCTTTCTCTTTCTCCTATTAACCGTCTCACTTCTCTTAGTTTCTCAGAAATCATTGTCATCCTCCTCAGTCTCTTATTTCTCTGTGCAGACTCCAACAATGGACAGACCTTTTTCAGCGACGTACGACATAATCTGAAGACCCACTGAACTTACCTATTTCGACCATCCACTATCTTCCACCCAAATTATATTGGCAGTGATCTAATACCCGGAAGTACTCTCGTTGGTACCCATTATTGTTTATCGTTGATGATTTTTTTGTGTTGGTTTAGTGGTTGATTTTTACCTTCTTATTTCTTATCAATCAATGAAGTTTAAATTGTCTTTATAATCCATAAATAAAATCATAAAGTTATTATTCATACCAAAAATAAATCACTCCTGTATGAAAACCTATATTTCTTAAAAAATTAAAAAATATTCAAAACCCAAGTTAATCAACAATTAAAAAAAAATAAGTGACCAATACAAAAAAAAATAAGATACAATTGCTCCAACAAAAAATGTTTAAAACCAATCTAATCGCTATGTGTTGAAATTATTCAAACATCTTATCTTTGTGTGTTGAAATTTTATAAATAACATAGTGCCTTTAGGCACAAGCAATGACTAATATATTATATAAAATAAAGTATACGATATTCAAATCCCAAAATATATATAAAAAATGATTAATTTTTTGTAGTTCGAATCATTTTAGATTTTTTTAACTAAGGATCCAATGGCTAAAGATCATTTTAATAACACATCAAAATACACACACTAGTATAACAAAATACACCAAAATACATATACACTAGACCAGGACTCAACTCTGGACTGTACTTGATCCCAATCATGGCCCCAATCCTAGACCCGACACTAACTTGATCCAGGACCCGGACTTGACCCTGAACCTCAGACCCGATCCTGATCAAACAATTTTTTCTTTACATGCTTCATGAGATTAAGTTATTTATATATATTTTTATATATCGGTTACACTCATCTAATTTTTTTCAAACTTATTGTGATAGAAATCTCGTATACGGGACTAATTTTTTTCACCCTTTAGACATAATTAATGTTGATGGACATAATTTATTATTGAGATGAGAAAGGAAGGGACTTGAGGGAATCATTGATCAAAATCGACTCCAAATCAAAACTCGGAATATGCAATTCCTTAACCCCTTAAACAAACCTAATTTACTTAGATCTAAAATCTTAGAAGTAATACATAGAGAGGCAAGCATAAAGCCCTTTGCATTCAAGAAATTCTATTTGACTCATGAAAACCCTATAATAGTACTACTTCTACATACATACCCATACAAAATTTGTTAATAATAAAACAAAAAATGTATTTACACAATGAACAAAATTATATTATTGCAAAATCGAATTAGTTAAT